AACTCATGAAGCTTTGTTGGGTCCCAGGACATAGCAATATAGTAAGGAATGAAGTGGCCGACGAACTAGCTCGAGGTCGGTTGATCTACCGATTGAATATTCTGTCAAACCATCTATAAGCTATTATATCAGTCGATTCTATGAGGCTCTCATCGAAGAAGCCATCTGTCCGGCAATGACGAGAAAAAGAACCTGGTCCGGCATATTGCCTGACCACTGCATTATTAGATTTGACCTCTGGATGGGATAACGACGGTCCTGACTACGTGGACTATGTGAGAACGAAGAAGAGGTAGAGACGATTGAACATCTACTATGCAGATGTCCCACGCTCTCAAGCAAAAGTCATAGGCTGTTCATCATCCACAGGTTTGCTAAAATCATCATGGCTCGGCAAGCCTTCATATAACTTCATATAGATATATCCATCCCCTCTTTCTTTCCCAATTTTATGTCTTTCCTATCATAACTCGTTCTTCCTATGATGAACACAATGGAACAACCCAGCGAACCAAACTGTCCAAGTTCGGTCCAATTTTGAAATGAAAGTCGAAAGAAACTTCCAATGTTGGTGCGTGTTCGGTCCGACTTGGGACCAAAAATTAGAGCGAAGGTTTGGCCGACTTTCAAACTGAAGTCGGAGCGAATTCCCAAGGATATTCATAGGAAATGTGGATGGGAAATTAGAGTTGTCAGAACGATATCGGACCGAATTGGGAAGTAATGTCGTACGCATTTCTGGAATTCCGAAGAAGATCTAATGAAGTTCTAATGTATATATTAACAACAAACACAAAAAATCTCTCAAAGAGCAAGAGAGAGAGAAACGCCCTCTAACTCTACAACAAGAAAAAACCAGTAAAGAAAGGTCAAAGTCGAGCTGGGCCATCCATCCGTATGTCCATGTATTTTTGTAAACAAAGTACAGGTCAAAATTATTGCCCAATCAACATAAAATTTTGCATTTGTTTGGTCCAAGGACGAACCTTATTGTTATTGGAGATAATCCGCCAAAATTTAGATATAGCTCTCATATATATCTTTGCCCCGACCACAGTGTGATGTAGGGTATAAATATTTCTGACAAATGGCCCAGAACTCGGACATACGTTGGTCAGAGGCGTCGGGAAAAACATCAGACTTTAAGCAGAGGGGTCGGTTTCGCCGGGAATTGTTTCCGAGTGAATCAGTGCCGCCTTCAGTGTAGCTGCGCACCTTTAAATCTAACCTAAACTATGTTCAAAATTGTTAAATGCTGTTCTGAAGGATGTATGATACATTTTTTAGGAGAAAATATACATTCAGGATTAAACACAACTAATTTATAAAAAAAACATAATTAGTTAAACTATTTTTCAATAACGACTCGAAAAGATTTTCAAACATTTGGCACTTCATCTCTTCGTTTCCTATTATTTTTTATTATTTTATTTTTATTTTATTTTTATTTTTTTTTTTTTTTTTTTGTATCATTCTTTTTCAAGTTCTCTGCCGTCTTTTGTAAAATTTTGCAACTTCACAAATCATTTGAGTCACACCTCAAAACATAAAACAGATCACACATCACAAAATTGTTGTGATCTCACACCGGTTTGATCGCACTTTAGATACTCTAGTAATAGATAGCTCGCTTCTGATTCGAATAGAGGAGACATGGATGGACTTTATGCTTTCTTAACTATTTCGTACTTATTGTTGTTTTTTTTTATTATTTCGAAATTCATAAAATTTAAGTTTATTATGTCATTGACTTTGGCATTTCGGTTTGTTGCTGTTGTGATTCTTTGATATCCGGAATGTTGTTCTATTTGTTTTTGTGGAATTTCTTTCTTTGTCATTAAACTTCTTCTTCTCCCCTCATCTTAGGAAAATGGACAAATTTATTATTGTTTTTTTTTTATTGTTATAATGGCATAATTGTTTTTTTTTTTTTGTAATTGTTTATGGGTGTTTTTTGTGACCATCAAATAAATACTCAATTGCATATTTCAGGCTTCTTCCATGGAACCGAATTTCTTCGTTATGTTGTTAAATTCTCTCCTATATCGTAAATTAATTATTTATTTCTATTTTAATTTTAAATGCTATTAGGTAATGACTAATTCTTTAAAATAGCCTATAATTTTCAAGACTATTATATTATACAATTTATAACATAAAATAAAAGTAAAAAATAGTAATTATATTAAAAAATTGTAAATTATTGAAATATAAAGGAAAGAGTACAATTTTGGCGCCTCATCATGTATTGAGTGAATATAGAGCAGATATATAGGATGAGATGAAAAACTGCAACCAATTCAGACCGCTGTCATTTCCAAGCCACTCGTCCGACGCTGTTAAAATTATTCCAGTGACAGCTCAATATATTTTTTACAAGTGTACAAAAGCATTTTGGTGAGCATTTTCCAGAAAAAAGTTATTCGTGATGCAATTCAAGCGTGATAGTGTGATTTCTTTATATTTGGCTGGAAGACCACAAGTGGCTATTGTTAGAGCACTCCAGCATTTAAATGTGAATAAATCGTTTGTGTCTCGTACCATTCCTCGTTACCATGATATTGGTAGCGTAGCGCGACGTCAAGGAAGTGAACAGAAGAAAACAGCAACATCAGCAGAAATGGTTCGAAAAGTAAAGAAGCGACTTGATAGAAACCAGCGGAGCAGTGGCCGAAAAATGGCTCGCGAGCTGAACATATCGCAATATTACATTCGGCAAACATTAAAAAAATGAGCTCGGGGTAAAGCCATTGAAATTCCAAAAAGTGCTAGAATTTCCACCGCAACAGAAAGAAAATAGACTCAAATGAGCTGAAGAGTTGCTTCGCTTGGCCGAAGGTAATGAACTGTCGAATTTGGTTTTGTTCGATGAGAAAACATTCGTTGTCCAGCAGTTTGTAAACAAACAAAATGATCGTGTTTACTTGCCAAAGAGGTCAGCTGAAAATGTGCACCTTCGGTTGGCCCCCGGAACTCAAGCGCCGGCCATGGTGATGGTGTGGGCCGCCATACCAACCGATGGTCGCTCTTCGCTTGTATTAATCCACCGTTTCATCAGAATAAATCCCGAATATTATCGCGAAAATATTCTGGAGGGTGTATTAAAGCCTTGGGCACGCAAACATTTTGGCCGCAGACCTTGGACATTACAACAGAACTAAGCATCATCGCACTCAGCACGCGCCACCCGAAAATGGTTACAGAATGAGGTTCCTCGCTTCTTTTCCATTCCACCTCAAACAAGCGCTTCGCCGGGAATGGACCAAAATACCGGAGAGTAACATTCGGGCAGCGTGGGACGGTTTCATTGGCCGTTTGAAGGCCATAGTCGGAGAGAATTCGCAAGGATATTCATAGGAAATTCGGAAGGGAAGTTGAAGTTGTCGGAAAGATTTCGGACTGAACTCGGAAGTAATATCTTGCGCATTTTTGATATCTCGGCCCAAATTCCGAAGAAAGGTCTAATGCAGTTTTGATATACATATTAACAACAAACACAAAAAATATCTCAAAGAGCACGATAGAGAAACGCATTCTAACTCTACAACAAGAAAAAACCGGTAAAGAAAGGCCAAAGTCGGGCTGGGACGTCCGTCCGTCTGCAATGCATTCTTGTAAACAAAGTACATGACGCAATTATTTCCCGATCAATATAAAATTTTGCATTTGTTTGGCCACGAACGGGCCATAATTCGTGCCAAAAGTGACCAATTCGAACAAATCTAAAATTTGATGCTATTTCCGACATTTTTTGCTTTCATTCAATAAAATTAAAAAAAAAAAAAAATATGTAAAAATTATGGCGTTTGACTTTGTTGCATTTATTTTTTTCTCACCCTGTATATATATGAATTCCTGCGTTTTCATAAGATTTAGCCTTCAAGGGCCTATAGTATATTAATTTTATGACAAATCATTTTGTAGAATATCTTGCCACAATTCCGTTCAAAGAGATTTTTAATCATGTTTTGAAAAAAGGCCCAAGACCCCTTTGTTGACTTGCTTAAGATTTTAAATATTCCTCGTATTATTATTGCCGAAGACACCTAAATTGCATGGATTTCATGAAAACTTAATCTGAAAATTTCCAGTACATTTGCGATGTAAAACTTTCAGATCGGTGATACACGTGTCTTCTCTTTTAGTTCTACTTTCATAATCTGCTGATTTTTTCCTGTAATTATTGAAAATATTTAATTTTGTTGCACAGTGCTTTAAAAATATGGAAACTCTATTTATAGCTTTCAAATACAGTTTTTTGATTCAAAGGAGATTTTATAAAGTTCATAACTTTTAGGCCATTCCTACGCTTAATGAAAATACGATATTTCTGATTTTTTCCCCATTGATCCGCAAAAAGAAAGAACACAATTTGAGCGTACTTCCGTTCGTAGTCTTTTCTTAGTTTGGGTGTTTAGACATTCGAACCAAATGCATGTAATCTCAACCAAACCGAAATCGAAATGTACAGAACATAACTGTAAAACTCGGCAACTCAAAAATTACTTTAAGGCATTTCAATTGCTTTAAAAAATAAAGATATGATCGTTCAAATATAATTTCGAAACCGTTTGAAGTTATTGCCGTCTAACATAAATTTTCAATTAGTTTAAACGTTGCACAAAATGTATCTACATTTATTACCCACTTTGGATATGTATGTGTGTGTATGTAAATTGCATCAACATCATTCCCGAATGCAACAATTACAAGCTTGGAATTTTAATTTTCAATATTACTTAATACAATTATTTATGTCATGATTACATACTCACACACACACACAAATACCGCCGCCATACATTATGCTAATTGCCCGGAAAGTAATGAACACCAGTCTGACATTTATGACACATTGAATGGACAGACGGACAGCCAGTTATGACCATTGACATTATTGTTATGTTTGGCCAAGAGGTCAAAGCGTAGTAAAACTTGAAAAAAAAAATCATTAATTTTATGTTTTTCTTTCTCTCTCTCTCTCTTTTGTTTTTTTACAGTCTTATCCAATCGCATGAAACAGCTGGCATACTCGCTGAAAGAATTCAATTTCGAGTGCATCGGCACAGCCCAGACCGATGATGAATTGGTCATATGTGAGAGTTTAAAGCAATTTGGTGATATTATCAGCATGATTGAGGATGAACGGGAGAAAATGGTATGTTGTTGTTGTTTAACTTGCCACAAATGGTGGCTGGAAATATTTACATAATTTCTACTTCTTCTATATTTTAGTTGACACTGGCCGACCAACATATCATTGAACCTCTGGAGGATTTTCGCAAAAAACAAATTGGCGGCGTCAAAGAGAACAAGAAAAAGTTTGACAAGAAAACGGAAAAGTTCTGCCAATCACAGGAACGCTTCCTAAATATGTCAACCAAAAAGCCCGAAAATACAATACAAGAGGTGAGTGTTGCACAAAAAAAAATCTGATGGTAGATGAAAGAAAATGTGATTAAGGTTTATCTAAAAACTATGACTGATTTGTGATGACAAGGTCTTTATAAATATTGGAGAAACAGAATTACGGAAATTGTATTCGATTATATTTTTTTTTTTTTTGAAGAATTAGACCAACTTAAATAGTGGCCGCCATGAAAAGAAAAATTTTATATCTGATGTAAGGCACTGTATTCGTACATTACATATTGCATAGAAATACCTCTGTAAAAATTATTTCAAATATTTTCCTGAAATAAGAAAAATGTAAATATTTGACCAGACCTCCGAAAAACTCGCTCTAATTTGAACAAAGAGTAAAACTTCCTCGAATTTGAGTGCGTTCCTGGGAGCAGAAATAAAACGAGCAAACTTAATTTTGCGATGTTGCTCGAATATGAGGGAGCTATATTATTCTCGCTTTTGAGTAGGAGCAAAACTCGTTCCAAATCATCTGCTCTACTCTCCGAGGACTCTTTTAGTTATTGTCATACAGTTGTGTATATTTTGTACAACATCACTCCCATCTTCCCTCTCTTCTACTCACATCGCATTTAGTACATTACTGGTACTGTTATACCCCTTCATCATAGCATGGAGGGTATATTAACTTTATCATTCCGTTTGTAACTTCTTGAAATACTCGTGTCAGATCCAAGAAATATATATATTCTTAATAAGCGTAAAATTTTAAGTCGATTTAGCGGTGTCCGTCTGTCTATCTGTTATAACCACGCAATCTTTCGAACGAATTGAAATAGAAAGCTAAAATTTTGCACACGTGTGTTTTTTGCCAGCAGACAGGATAAGTTGGGCCATGTTGGTCCACGTTTTCATGTAACCCCCATATAACAGTACCTCCCAATATTAAGTATGTTGATTATTTTAGCGATATATTTTACCAGAGTTGTTTAAAATTTTGTATTTAAAGTTCATAATGGGTACTACAACCTATAACAAAAATCACGTATTCAGGTCCTCGTCCTAGTATAGCCCCCATATAACGATGCCTCCCTGTATTCGATATTTTGATGATTTTAGCGGTATTATTCACCGGAATTGTTTCGAATGTCGTAATTGAAGTTCGTAATGTGTACTACAGCCTTTGAAAAAAGAACACATCTTCGTATAGCCCCCTTATAAGGTATTTAATTTGAAAGATATTTTTCTACGGATTTTTGTTTTTTTTTTTGAAAAATTTCAAGTTCCTTCGAAATAGTGGCCGAACTTAGCTGCTTTTAAACTTGTTTTAGTACTAATAATGCACGATTTTTTAGCCGAATTTTACCTTCTTCAGACAAAGGTAAAAATAAAATTTCTAAATTCCTTAAGGTACTTTTGGTGAAACACAGTTTTAGGACATTTAGTGCCTTTTTGAAGGAGTAAATATTTGCCCATTATACGGCTAAAATTAGTAATTATATCTCAACTTCTTTTTTGTACTTTTGAGTACGCAAAAATCTACGATTTTTGGAACTTAGTTTTGCAGGCAGTAAAAAATTTAAAATTAAATTAAATTTAGAACTTTTTATTATTTTTCTAATTTTTTAGAACTTTTTATTAATTTAATATTCGCTTATTATATATGGCTTAAATGAAGTATTTTATCTCTACTCCTTTGCATTCATTACAGTTTTGATACTTTTTAATACCCAAGAATGTACGATTTTTAAATTTTATTTTCACAGGCAATATTTTATTTTCGTCAGACATCGCTAAATATCGAATTTCAAAGTTCGTTCTCAAACCGAACAATATTTATACTTTTTAGCGCAATTTTTAGCACAAAACTCAGTTTTAGAAACTTTTAGTGACTTTTCATAGACCTCATAAAATGGTCCATATATTTTATACGCTAAAAGTGATCCTCATGCTAAATTTAGAATTATAGCTGTATATTTTCCCTTGCAGTACATTTATATGGGGGCAATACGATATCGTGGACCTATATAGACAATTCTATTTCAGGAGGAAAGGTACTCACAAAGAACTCCTTGTGTAGAATTTCCAACAATTCCATTGAAAATTTTTGCTTAAATCATACAAATAACGAATATCGGAAGGTGCCGTTGTACTTTTAGTAACCAAAACGTACGAGTTTTTAAATCAAATTTCGCAGACATTATTTTCTTCCTCAAGCAAAGCTAAATAAAAAAATGATAGGATTCCACATCAAATCACAAATTGCTCAGTACCATTTTTCGTAAAGACTGTGCATATCTAGATATTTTTCCATTACATGGCACATCCTTTCATCAACCATACCTATCTTAAATCCGACTTTTTGACATATGCAAGGAGTCCAGCATCATCCCAGCTAGTACCGGTGATTTAATAGGATGGATCATTCTTCTTAATGGTCGAAATATAATCGGTCAATATTTTCAGAGGGTGCCTCATTTTCTTGAAAAAGTATGTTATTTGCGTAGATATTGCGTAGATTATTAAAAGCTAAAAACATAAGTCCGTTATTGCAAATATTCTATGGCCTTGGGAAATTATTTAAAAAACCATGCTAGTTGTCCTTGTGTCTTTGATTTAAGTTTTTTTTTTTTTTTTTTTTTTTTTTTTTTTTTTGAAATATTCACAAGTCTTCGACAGTTGATTAAAAAATATCCTTTAAAAAATAAAGTTGGTTGGTCTTGTATATTTTAAAGTTTAAAGTAAAGTTGAAAAAAATAATTTTTAAAACAACAAGGTCTGTTGGTTTGAATGTTTTTAAAATTCACATTTTCTTGTTTGATGCTCCTCGAAAAAATATTTTCTAAGATTCCTTGTTTATTGGTCAGATAGTCATTGAAATCCACTTTTGTCGGTCTGACAGTCCTTCAAATATATTTTCTTAAAAATAAATGTTTTTGGTCTGACAGTCCTTGAAAAGTATAATTTAAAAAACCCACGTTGTTTGATCTTATAGTCATTTGAGAATTCAGATTTGCTTTTCTGACAGTCCTTGTCAAAATATATTTAAAAAAATATTCTCAATAAAATCCACTTGTGTTGGTTTCATAGTCCCTGAAAGACTATTCTTCTAAAATCCATATTTTCTTGTTTGATGGTCTTAAAAAAAATATGCTCCAAAAATCTCCGTTGGTTGGTTAGACATTATTTAATAAATGTTCTTAAAAAAAACTCGGCTTTGGGTCTAATGTTATTTAAAAAAATATATTTAAAACAGATTTGTTGGTTTGAATGTCTTTGAAACCCACATTTTCTGCAAAAAAATATTCTGTTTTTCTATAAGTCCTCGAAATTCACCGAAATTTTGTTTATTTATTTAAATTGGTCTATTCCAAAACAGAATGTAAATGTTTTTCCAACGATAACCAATTTTCATTTTTTGCTTTTGGAAAAATTGCAAAACTAGATTTTTGCAGATTCTGCAACATTGTAAATACCAATCTCTAAATTATATTTAAATCCTCTCATCATAACCACATCATCACAACACATATTCAGTAAATTTTTTTATCCCTCATTTCCAATGTGGCATTAATATTTAATTGCTTTCCGACACACATTTTTACCAAGCAATTTTACATTTCCATCAATGTTTGTTTTCTGTAAATTACCAAAAAGTTTTCAAATTATGGTTTTCTTCGTAAATTGCAATTTATCTAGTCTGAAGTTTTCCTCTTCAAATGATACGAACGTGCTCATCTCTGAAAATATTTTAGTTCCCTGTTTTTTTTTCCCCGGAAAAAAGAAAATCATTGAAATTCTTGAATAAACATAATTTTACAGATTATTTGAGAGATAAATCCATATGTTCCATAAGCCGTTTTATGTGTAAAGAAAAGTTTTGTTGCAACAAGGATAAGGCAGGACTGCTAAAAACTTGGCCCAGAAAATCAACAAAAACCTTTCCAGAGATTGCCATCGAAACAAAAACGGGCAAAAACAAACGCCCTTTTAAAAGAAATGTGTCTGGCTCTCGAAGAGAACATGAATTGAATTTTATTTATTTATTGTGGCAATAACAACAACAACAACAACAATGGCAACTAGTGAGCTGGCAAATGAATACCGAAAGGATACAAGTTGTAAGAAACTTGTAAATTCAATAACAGTTAAGTGCATCTGCCAAATGCAAGGAGGCAGCTACAAAGGCTGCCGGCAGTCAGGCAGAGAAGTACTTTTGATGTTGCCAATATTTGCCCGGTTTTTTGCATCCTTTTTCTATTTTAGTTGTTTGGCAAATTGTTATACAGTTTTCTTTTTTCGCTGTTTCTCTCACTCTCTTTCGCACAGTTTTTTCGTCCTTTTTCTTTGCAAACTATTTTGTTTTGTTGCTGCTGCTCCTTTTCGGGTTCCTTGACCTAAGTTAACATTAAAAATTTCATTCCACTCCAAATACACACACAAAACATCCAGCTATTGTATAATGGGCGAACGGAACCAAAGAAAGAAAGAAAGAACGGCATATTTGCTAAAAATAGTTATATACAGAACGCTCCCCCACGCCCACCCTTTGCTACAGTCTCTCAAAGCTTTCGGAACAATACTTTACCACCTACACTTGCTTAGCCCACTCTCAACAAAGGAAAGTTTCAACAGCAGCCTACCACTGCTATGCACCTACCTATTCAACGCCCTCCGCCACCCACAACTCCAGCCGGAGAGTAAACAAATTATTCAATGAGAATTCACATGAAAGTTCTTCTTCCTATACATCGGAATAGTTATTTACTTTAGTATACAACAAACACTGTAATGCACTGGCAGGCAGACAGACAAACACGAAAAGCTTTTGATCCTTTGGCATGACTCCCACTACCCATCCTTACTCGTCCTCCACACAGAGCAAATATATAAAGGAGGCCAAAACAACCCAAACCACAGGACCCGCATGAAAATCGTTTAAAACTCCATTGTATGGTAAAATTAGAACGAACGGTGTTCGTGTGATGGGGGTGTTGGAAAATCCGACTACATGGGAATTAGAGAACGAGAGAGTTAGAGAGAGAGAGAAGCCAACAATTCTTAAAACAGGTTGTTTAGTTAGGTGTATAGAGAAATAGAGTAAAGTGTAGTTGCGGATTATTAGATTCACACAAGCCTTGTAGGGATAGAGAGAGATTGTGGTCGCTATAGTTATTGTGGTTCACGGAGGTCATTATGGCCAGGGAAGGATCGAAATGAAGGGGTTTTTAAATAAATAACCTCAGGCTACTGAGGTGAGACTTTTTTCCCTCCACCAAAACGTGCCTCGTCGGAATAACTATTTTAGGCCCATTGGAAGAAATCCGCATCGGGACATTCGAAAACGATCTGGGGTGTGTATATTCGTTCATCTGTCTGGCTGGTGCGCACTATAACTCTCAAAGGGAGTATCAGCTATGGTCTAAACTTGATCGTAATATTATTATCAAATTTAGACCAAGTTAGGAAGTGGGCGGTGTCAGCCCACTCCTTCTGATACCATCCTCACAAAAGGTCAAATTTTTCACAGAAAACATATACCCCATAGAAAAGTGCTTGGTCAGGTGCAAAAGTTGACAACATCGCTTGGCTTCATCAAGTTTTTGAAAAAAAAAAAATGAACATTCAAAATGCGAATTAAAATTCCGATTGCTCTCAAATTTTTACTTATGTGCTAAAAGGTACTAAATTTTGTATTATTGACTGTGAAATTATTGACTGAGAAATGTAGCCAGTTTTGGAAATTGGTACTAAATTTGGTATAACTTAAATTTTGGGGGAACCGGTAGAGTTGGAATCCTGAGATTTGAAAATAAGATTTATGAAAATTTGTACTTAAGTGTACTAAATGGTACTGAATTTTTCTACAATTTGGATGAACCAATAGAGCTGGTATCCAGAAAATTGAAAATAAAATTGCTGGCGGAATGTATGATTGGGATATTTAGGTAGTTGTGGAAATTTATACTTAAATGTACTAAATTTGGGACAATTTGGATTTAGGTAAACCGATAGAGCTGGAATCCTGAACTTTGAAATTGGGATTTCTGTGGGAGTGTAGGATTGAGTTATTTGGGTATTTTTGGAAATTTGTAGAACTGTAGAATTGGGGTATGTATGAAGTTTTGGAAATTCGTACTTATGTGTACTAAATTTGGTACTAGTAAAGCTGGAATCCCAAAATTTAATATCAATGTAACTGTGGCTGGTTGTAATTAAAATATGGATATGGTTTTGAAAATGCATCCTATATTTGTACGAAAAGTATTAAATGGTACTAAATTTGGTATTGGGTGAAGGGATAGGGCTGTAATCATTAAATTTCATATTGAGGTCGCTGTTGCTGTTTGTGGTTAAGATATGAAGGTAGTTTTGGAAATAGTACACATTGTACGAAAACTACAAAATAGTACTATGTTGGTAATGGGTGAAGGGATAAAACAGAAAACCTAAAATTTGATATGGATGTCACTGTTTGTGTGTTTGGTAAAGAGAACGAAATGCCGTTGGGTGTTGGTATAAAGATGGAATTCTGAAATTTGTTAGCGAGGTCACTATTGGTGCCTAGGGTGGAGGGAAGGATGTGGTTTTCGACATGGGTAGTATAACTGTATGAAAAAGATTGTAATGCATTTGGGATTGTATCTTAGGATAGAGATGGAATTCTGAAATTGAATGTGAAAGCCACTGTTGGTATATAGTTTTGAGAGAAGCAGGTGAATTTGGGAATGCGTATTATGATTGCTCAAAAAGTACTAAAGGTTACTAAATTTGGTATTGAGTGAATGTATAGAGCTGGAATACTGAAATTTTATATTGAGGTCACTGTTGGTTTCTAGGATTTAGATATGGTATTGGCCATTTTTTATTATGAAAAAACGTTGAAATGCTTTTGGCCTAATATGCTCTTCGGTAAACTTCAAAACGAAAGATTTAGAGATTTTTTTTGTACAAGAAGTAATAATTTTTCTATTATCCTTTTCGAGATACAGAACTGGTGCAGCTGAAAAGTTAGTACCATGTGTGATGTTTGTTTGGAAAATTTGTTCAAAAACTAATGAAAAAATTGTGAATTTTAAGTACTAAAATGAACTGGTGGAACGACTCTAAAATTTTTTAGCTGACGAAGTAGCGGCACTTGCTAGTTTCAGATAAAATTACATCTGAAAAAGGAATAGTACATCCCCCCAGAAAAGTACAATTTAACTAGTTCCTCTTTTTTTGTGAAAGAATTTCTCAGGCACTGAAATATTTAGTTGCTTAAAAATGTCTCATCATTTCTTCCTTATTCAAACCATATTTCTAAACATGCAAGTGTCCCATGTAACCAGCTAGCTGCATGTACACATACTTGCAGCGCAACATTGCAACGTGAACTATGTCAATATTGATGCTGCTCCCTGCCGGCCGTCTTTACTCCACCACCACCACCACCACTACAACTACAATTTCATGTTCTTCTCGCTATCACATTTCGTTTGCATCATTTGAAAGTTATCCTTAAGAATTTTAATGGGCGGAATAGCATCTTGTATCCGGTATCCTGTAGATAAGAAGCATCAAAACAGCATCGCCGTCAACCTTTATTCCATTTTAAGGTGCACGCTTTATTTGCATTTCATCTTCTTTGGCTTGTTTTTTGTGAAATATTTTATGGTCATGATTCCTATTTGAGTTAGTTTCTTGCCAACAGATTCACTTCCTTCTTCGTTGAATACCCCATACAATCTGTTCTTATTTTTTTATCGCTATTTCATGGTACCTGAGTTTGCATATTTCATCCTTATTTTATGGATACTTTTCAGAGCTCTTAGGTGCATAACGAAGATGGTTTTGCCTTTAAAATGCAATTTATATTCAGTGAAGGTCTACGGTGCGGGAGAGGGAGGAGATTTAATAATTCTGGAAAAATTAAACTAATAAAAATAAAGTCATTTGATGGGAAATGAAGAATTTCGACGATTTTAAATATTCCTCATAGCAGAAGAAGTTTTGAAAATAGATTAAGATAATATTTTCTAAAAGTCAGTTAAAGGAAAAGAACGTGAATTGAAAAAATTAAAGAATTTTTCTGTGTTTCAATATTTATCATACAAGTAGCATGAGAAACCCTCTTATTTTGGCCATCAGTTTGAGTGTAATGTTGCAAGTAAAGAACACGATTGGAAATAGAATATAGATGGCGTGGGCTATGAAATATTGTCCTATATTCAATATCAATGATCTCTCGGAATATTTAATACTCTTCTGTACTTAAATTTTCCAAAATGTCACCATTTTTGTTCCCCGGTATCATAGACAATTGAAAAGTCTTCTTAAAATGATAAAATTTAAGAAATATGATATAATTGTAGCATAGATGGCGTTCTGTTTAAAATGTTTACTAAATGAAGGGTATGTCTGTCTATTTTGAACCCTTTTAACACGAATTCGAAAACTTCCCAGTATCTTTTCGTACTTTGGCAGTATAGATTATTTAAATTATTTCTCAATACCATAAAAATTACGAATCTTAACAAAAATAATATAATTAAAGTGTAGATAGCGTTTTTTTCTAAAATACATTTCTAAATTACATTTCTGTCTGCATATCTTTGTATTCGTATCTTTTGTAGTACGAATCTCAGAAATTCACTGTCTGCTTTAGTACTTTTACATTATGACCAAAAACCAGCTTACGTCTGGGGGAACAAAATGTGCTAAATCTGAACTGGCTTTTACAGACAGAAAAAATAAATTTTCACATAATATAATATATTACTATCGCTATCGTGGAAGAAGTTCCGAAAATGACTATTTTTCCTGACCAATTCTTCTTCCATAAAATGAAAACTTATATAAAGGAGTAAAATGTGAAATAATAAAATTAAATTTTCATAGAACTTTTGTTGTTGCAAAATCGTCAGGCAAAATCCCATTATTGTTGTTTTTATAAAAACAACGTTTGTTTATGAGTGGAGAACGATGGTAATGTTTACCAGGGGGTAAGGCAGGGAATACCTAGGTTTCGGAAAGAGCCACCAATCCTCATCAGTTCCCAAGAAACCATGGGAGGTAAAACAGCTTCACGAAACTACAAAAATACAATCCTGAGGTTATACCTGCTTCCTGTCAGCATTATTCAAAATTACATGTAGCAAGTTGCTCTCATTTATTTTTGTATACAGGGTGAGATAAAAAAACTGCAACAAAGATAAACTCCATAATTTTTATTTTTTTT